TTTGAGTACAGGAGTTGAGACATCACGTTCAGGTTGTACAGAACGTCAGTGAAGCCTCTTCTGGAGTACTGTGTGCAGTTCTGGTGGCCTTGTTATAGCAAGGATATTATTAAACTGGAGAGGATTCAGAAAATATTTACCAGGATGTTGCCAGGAATGGAGGGTTTGAGTTATAAAAACAAGTTGGATAGGCTGGGACCTTGTTCATTGGAGTGTAGGAGGTTGAGGGGTGACCTTATGGAGATTTATAAAATCATGAGGGGCATAAGGTGAATAGTAAAGTACTTTTCCATAGGGTGAGGGAGTTCATAACAAAGGGCCGTTTTTTTTTTTAAAAGGAGAGAGGAGAAACATTTAAAAAGGAGCACAAGGGGCAACTTTTTTTTAATGCACAGAGTGGATAATATGTGAAATGTGCTGCCAAAAGAAAGTAGTAGATGCAGGTACAGTTACAACATTTAAAAGACATTTGGATAAGTACATGACTAGGAAAGGTTTGGAGGGATATGGGCCAACTGCAGGAAGGTGGGACTAGTCTAGTTTGGGAACATGGTTGGTGCAGATTCATTTGACTGAAGGGTCTATTCATTCATGTCATATGACTCAATGACTGCAAAATTGTCAATTTATATTTTCCATCATTATACCCCGTTTACTCTATCTAGTTATATATTTTGTAGCTTCTTTATGGCCTACTTTTGAGTTATCAGCAAATTTGACAACTATACGTTGTACCACTTCAAGTCATTTTTATAAACTCTAAATAGTTGAGATCTTCACTGATCCCTGTGACAGTCCATTCATTTCAACTGGCCAACTACAGAAGTACCCACTTATGTTTGCTCTCTGCTTCTTGTTATTGATGATGCTGCAGGCTGGCTCTGGGTAAAAGCAACTTTCCGCTTTCACTCGGGAGTGGGACTAGTGGGAAACTTGGTCGGCACAGAAAAGTTGGACCTAAGGGTCTGGTTCTGAGCTGTATGACTCTATAACTGAGCAATCACTTTCTTAGAGACTTTTTCTCAAAAGTGTCCGTAGATCTTTCTCATTGATTATCTGAAGGTGACCAGAGCATAAGGTAAGTTTGAAACAATGAGAAAACTAGAACGCCAAAGGAGAATGATAGATCAAGCAGCCCAACTGGTTGGTCATTCCAGCCAATTCATAATGGGGGTCAAGCTAAGTCCATGAGCACACAGAGCTAGGTTTGGCCCTTGGAGGATACAGACCTTCGTGCCGGGGTGTAGAACCAACATGGATGGATTCTCAATACGATAATTGGAGATTTACACAATTTTTTTCGTTTAATTTTTAAATGTTACTTTCATAAATAAATTCTCTTTTATAGTCGCAGCTAGTTGGTCACTCAAACAAGATGGAAAGTTGTTTCAATTAAGTGGTCAGTTCATTTCAAGACAAGATTAAGCTCAAGTAGGCTTTGTAGCCCATCAGTACTCACTGTCAAGACTTCCACATGAATAGTAATTACTTGAAGTAAAGAACACGCAAAACGTAAAAGCCAATTCTCTTAATGGTATAACAAAGTTATCCAATAGTTGAGCCTTTAAGTCAGAAAAATCCAAACCTGTATCTATGGAGCAATATTCTAAAGAGGAACCAATATTTTCAAATCCAGGAAAATAAAACTGTAGCAATAAGTTTAAAATAAAAATACAAGAGCAGAACATGGCATCAATGGAGAAGCGTATTAGAAAAGAAATAAGATGACAACAGAAGGGGAACAGAACAGTGTACTATTTTGCACACAGTATTCCAGTGTTGTACAAACAGCATTGTTACTTATTCAAACTAAAATCCTACGATGATATATGCAACGTTTGTGTATACTTTACCACCATAAAAAAAAACTTATCTAAAGAGACAATCAGAATCAAAACCAACTTGATGCATCGTGTGCGCGCGCTGAATTTGAAAACCAATCTGAATTTGGATCTTTGGAAGCAATTAAAATTTGTTCACTTATTTTACAGTTTGGCACATGTAATTGCTGAATGAATAATGAAAGACTGCTACATGTATTAGGCAAACTGAACAAAATTTACAGCAAGGCTAATAAGACAATGGTCAGATACTAAACTGAAAATGTGATGTGTTTTTAAATAAAAACAACTCCATATCTGCATGTCAGGCCCATGAATCTGAAATACGTAGCGCTGGACAGAAGGTATGCCCAATAAATCTAATGGAGAAATAGAAAGAGAAATTTCTTTTACTCAAGGTTAAGATGTGGAATTCAATACCACTCTATAGCTCAGAGAAGTGGCTTAGGTGTATCAAAAGGAAATTAGACCAGTGGTTTGCAAACTGGGATTCATGGATCTTTGGCAGTCTGTGAAATGCAGGCTGAGGTGCAAGAATGAAACATGGCCACCACGTGTATAGTTATTATCTTCACATCAGATAGGATGCAGCAAGGATAGTCAGGCAGAGAGAAGGAAGTACACCCAGTCACTAATGTCCTCACTAAGTACTTGTTTCTTTAAAAAAAAGCTTTCAAACAATGTTTCCATGTAGCACTGTCCAATGAAATTAGGATTACTAATCTATTTGAAAAGGGTACCAACAAAAGTTTGTAGAATCATCTGAAATAAGTGAGTACATGGGAGGAAAAAGAAGAAAGGTCAAGAGGAATGGGATACGGCTTGTGTGGAGCATTAACACCTGCACAAAAAGACTTACATTTATGTAGCATCTTTCACAAGATCAGGATGTCCCAAAGTACTTTACAGCTGACTCGTAGTCATTACTGTCATGTTGGAAAAGCAACAGCCAACTTGCACACAGGAAACATCCATAAACAACAATACAATAATGACCTAACATTTTTACATGATTCTGATTAAGGGGTGAACACATTGGCCAGGACTTGGACCATAACTCCCTAGCTCTTCTTTGAAATAGTGGTGTGAAATCTTTGAAGCCAGACAGCGCCTCAGTTTCTTACCCAAAAGACAGCACCTCCTACAATGCAGCACTCCCTCAGTGCAACAATGAAGCATCAGCTAAGATTTGTTGTTCAAGATCTTCCTGAGTCTCAGACCCACCACCTACTAATTCAGAAGTAAGAATGCCATCAACTAAGCCAAATAACTTGTCCGATAGATGCTGAGAGGTTTTATGCAAGATTGGTTTTTGGGAAAGCATTCCAGGTGAAGACATGCATCACGAATGATACAGCAGTGAGATGAGAAAAATAGTTGCTAAGTGGAGAATTTAAGCCAGATGTAAATGTTTCATAAACTTTACAAATTCTTGACATAAAATGGCAGTTCCAGTTTTTAGTGTTTGTTGTTGTAGTGATGACTCAATTCCAAATGTAAACACCTAAAGTTTACTCAATGGCCCGAGGGAGTTCGAATATTGCATGAATTGGCTATAGCATCTTTTCTGCGTTTAGTCTGTCCCTGGATATGTACACCAGTTCCTTGTTGCACTAAGGTTACACTACTAACTAAATTGGTAGACTTAATGCTGTTCTTTTAGTTTTTTTTAAAAAACATTAATAGAGCCGAAGCAGTCAAGTAGATGGGGGCACAAGGATGCTCATGGGTGAATGCATCATTAAGATCAAATATTCTGAGCTCAGTGCACCAAAAAAAGGAACAAATAAATCACTAAAATTAGAAACTTTGCGCAAGACAGAATGCTGATGAAATGGGAAGAAGGAATGTTGTTCATCTAAAAATGAGTGACGGATCAGCATGCATTAAAAGACAAGGTAACCACTAAATAGGGAATAGGGAGCATAAAAAGCATATGATGGGCATAAGGCTGCCATAGTCATGCCAAGTATTTACGTTTAAAGCTATTGCACCATTTCTTACTGTAGTAAAAACCACAATTGCAAAAGTACAACAAAGTGAGCAGAATGCACAATATTGCCCAGAGATAGTAGGAACTACCAGTGCCAGAGTCTGAGATAACAAGATGTGGAGCTGGAGGAACACAGCAGGCCAGGCAGCAGAGCAGGAAAGCCAACGTTTCGTTTCAGGACCCTTCTTCAGAAAACTTCTCATGCTGCTTGACCTGCACAATATTGCCCATTACCTGTCTTCTTTTGTGTAAAGCAATTCAACACACTTTAATTTTAATGCATTTCTACATTATAGCTGGGAGAGTTTTTAAGAACGCATAGATAAAAGATTTTTAAAAATCCATTTTTATAACATGAATACAACTAGTAATGTTGGCAAGCAACTGTAGAACACACGTACCACTCCCTACCCAAAATTTTAGAAGTACTAATTATGAACATCAGTAATGCCTTTTCAAAATAAGGAATACGTTCCAAACATGTAAACTATTTCTGCTAATATCAAAAATGTCGGGTATTATTTTAGTCAAAACGTTACTAACACAATTTATAACTAGCTCCAAGGAAACGTCACGAAAATGCTGCAATGTAACTCAAGATTTTTTGATACTTTGCTTATTGTACTACAGAAAAGTAGAAAACCTAAATCTTAGAAATATAATCAATAGCACTCTGCTAATCAGACTACATGTAACAGCGTGTGCAGTTTTCGAATCAGTGGTGTCAACTACAGCAATTAACCTCTGCAAACCTTCCCTGGCTCCGTATTAAAGTGAGGCAGCAATTCTGCTTCAGGTTGCAATGTGAATATTAAACAAGTTCACCGAACAGAGACGTCCACGCACCTTCGACTAGGCTAATTTCTGGACCTATGTTTAGTCTCCGGAAAAGTATTTTCGACGGAGAAGGTGGGCAGGGCCGATAACACCACCTAGGGAGGGGTTGGCCTTTGACCGCAGTCCCTTTCCACGGGGCAAACACTATCCGAAAGCCTCAGAGACGCTGGCCTTGCGCTCACTGACGACCTCCTCCTCCGCCGCCGCCGCCGCCGCCTTGCTCTTTGCGGCTAGGCCGCAGCCCTGAGCCAACTTAGTCACGGTAACAGCACCGGAATCAAACCTCAGAGCCGGCCCACTTCCCACTCCCTCAAAGTGGAGAAACTCACCAATGTGAGGTGGGAAAGAACAGACACACAACTCAGCTCAGCTCGCCGTGGCGCCTCTTCTCGTTTCCCTCGACGAACACTCGCCTACTTGTCTCTCTCTTTCCACCAGCACCAGGCCAGCCACTGCGCACGCGCCATCAGCCCTGCCGCATCCTGGGATTTGAGTTCTTTCATTCAGGCAAACTGCAAGGCTGTGCTTGCAGCGAGGGATGACCGCACTTTCAAACAGGGAGGCAAATCCTTACGGAAAAGCGAACAACATCAGAGTGACACACTCAGCATGTGTAAGAACAAAATATCCATTGGGAACTATTTAAAGATGGACAGCTTCCCAGCCCTCCTGGAACGCAAAAAGGTGCTGGTGTCTCACCTGTCATCCAAGATTCTGTTTCTTCCCTGTGTGAGCATGCCGTGTTGGCAAATTATTCACGCAGTCTTTGAGGAGGGGTGACTAGCATCGCAAGCGCACCTCTTGACTGAAATCAATGAACTACAGTGCGGACTGGGAATACTTACCGATTATTCCTTTCCTACCCGAGGGATACAGAAACCAATTGCAGTGATTTTTTTTAAATGTCTTTCATATCATATAAGGATCTCTGGAATGGACAGCATTTGTTGCTCATCTCTAATTGCTCCTGTAAAGGGGGTGGTGTGTTGCCTTCTTAAAATGATGGAATCTGTCTGGTGTAGGAACCAGGGTGTAGTGCTGCCAGACTTCATATTTCTTATCGTTCAATATTTAACTTATTTTCAGTGCTAATATTTTAATAATAAATTACAACTGCTTCTTGTTGTGAGCAATATGAGGTGACAATAGCTTTAAGAGGTAAGAAGGTGTAGAGCTGGATGAACACAGCAGGCCAAGCAGCATCAGAGGAGCAGGAAGGCTGACGTTTCAGGCCTAGACCCTTCTTCAGAAAAAAGTTTTAAGAGGTGTATTTTTTGCATATTTAATGAAAAGACGTTGAGACAGGTAATGAGCAGTCTGCTCAAAGCCAATAAAGTAAACAGCGTGTGAAGCCTTGGGTTTTTATGAGTTGGAACAATAGAAGCAGTCCGAATGGGTGGAGTCAAGCACCCTCAGAACCAGAATTTTTCGTTTTCACTCTCAGCAGTTGTGGGGTCTTGAAGCTGGATGTGGAAACACTTATTCCTCCCTGTTACAGCTGAAAGCTGGGGTTGTCTTCCTCCTGTTTAGACGTGCATGTAAGACAATAAATTTTACTGACTTTGCTTCTGCCAAGGGTGTGTTTATGGGATGTTACTATATTGGAACAGTTGCTGTTTAGGCATTAAATAAACATTTTGTTAAGTTTTCAAATAGAGTTAAGTTATTCCAATCCCTTCTTTTATTTGTATTTTCACTATAATGAATGAATAAAGTGTGTTTTGCTTAAAGCCTGGTAGATTGATCAATTGAAATGCATCCAGAACACGCTTGGTGCTTACCTTTAAAATAAGAAAATGTTAGGGTTTAGGCTATCTCCTTGACCTGTTTTGAGGGGGTTTGATATGGTCCATAATGGTGCATTTGACAGCAAGCCAGAAACACAAAATGGCATTTTAAAAAAAGTTGAGCATCATTTAATAATGTTCCATTTCTATCTGCAGTACACTTGGTCCTCTGTTAAAGTTGTTCCTATTTAAGTTGTTTCAATACAACATTATCAATATATAATGCCACTGTTTTTAGATTTAAGTTACAATTTTTCAATGTAACATTGTTCTGAAAATTGAAAATGAGCCATGTAGAGGATGTAAGGCATCACTTCTTTGCTTTGTTGTGTTCCTATGCAGCATGCCCCAGACACATCACTGAGAAGAGGTGTTGAGATGAGTATGGTGTGACAGGTAGTCAGCATCAGTGAGAGGAGGAGGCAAGGTGATGACCCCATGACAGGCAGTCAGCATCACTGAGAGGAGCAGCTGATTTGAGAGTAGGGTTTTTTGGTATGTTTATGTTTTTTATAAGGGTAATAAATAGTTTTCAGAGTTTTGGGATGGCTAGTTAATGCAAACAGATGGAGGTACATGCTGTGGTATGTGTGAAGGTGCAGACATCTCATGTGTCACAGACAAAGACATCAGCAGGAATTGTCACTGGTTACACAAGCTTGAGCTTGGGTTTCAGAATTTGAGCAGTGGCTGGAATCAATGATGTGTATCTGAAGCAGAGGACTATGAGGCAGTTGAATAAAACTAGGCAGGTAGTGCAGGTGTCCTCAGAGTCTATTGTGCTTGATAATCGGTATTCCATTTTGGAATCTAGTGAAGATGAGGATTTCTCGGGGAAGAGACAAGTCTCTGGTACAAAGGGAATCTCTGCTATATGGCAGGAGGGGGAGAAAGAAGAATGGAATGGTAATAGTGATAGGGGATGCCTTAATAAAGGGATCAGACACATGTTTCTACAGCATGAAACATGACTTCAGGATGGTATGTTGCCTCCCTGGTGCCATGGTCAAGGACTGCACAGGTAGCCAATGCATTAATAATCACCTTCCCAAACTCAATAGCTACTGAATGATTGCTGCAGATTGTAAGCTTGCAAATGTTGCCCCACTATTTAAGAAAGGAGCAAGAGACAAAGAAGGGAACTTCAGACACGTCAACCTCACATTAGTAGTAAGGAAAACTGCTATGATCTATCTCAAAAGGACATGATAAATGGATACTGGGATAAAAATAATTTAAATAATCTCTTTGGGCATATAGCATGGATTTGTGAATGAAAAATTGTGTTTGACAAACTAGTTAGAATTTTTTGAGGATTAAACTAACAACATTTATAAAAGGGGTTCAATGGATTTTTAGAGTTCCCCAGAACAGGTTGTTTGGAAAAAATAAGCACATGGTATAGAAGGTAATGTACTGGCATGGATTAATAATTGGCTAACAGACACAAAGCAGGAAGTAGGGATAAATGATTCATTGAAACTAGTGGGTACCACGAGGATGAATACTTTGCGCCAAGCTGTTAACAATATATATCAATGATTTGTAAGTGGGAACCAAATGTAATAGTTCCAAATTTGCAGATGATGTAAAGCTAAGCAGGAATGTTAGTTGTGATGAAGTTGCAAAATATTTCAAGAGGCTTTGGATGGGTTCAGTGGATGGGCAAGAACATAGATTGAATATAATGTGGAAAAACCTGAGGTTATCCACTTTAGTAACAGAGATAGATTTGCAGAGTATTCCTTATATAGAAAGAGGTTGGAAAGCGTAGGCATACAAAGTGACTGGTATCCTTGTCTAAAAGTCACAGAAAGCTATCGTTAAGGTGCAGCAAGCTATTAGAAAGATGAATAGAATGTTAGTCTTTATTGCAAGTGGTTCTGAGTACAGAAATAGTGAAGTCATGCTTGGTTAGTCCACACCTGGAGTCGTGTGTGCAGTTTTGGTCTCCTTAATTCATGAAAGATAAGGTTCACCAGACTTCATGGCGGGGCGGTCCTTTAAAGAGAGGTTGAGCAACTGGGCCTGTATTCTTTGGAGTTTCAAAAAATGAGAGGTGACCTCATTGAAACCTTCAGAAGACAGGATCGAAGAAAGTAAGATGTTTCCCTGGTTGGGGTGTGCAGAACCAGGGGGCACAATTTAAAATTCAGATTTCATTTCAGACTGAGATGAGAATTTTTTTTACTCATTGTGTTGTGAATCTTTGGAATTCTGTACCCCAAAGGACTGTGGAAGTTTGGTCTTTGAGTATGTTTAAGGTAGATGTTGATAAAAGTTTGATTACCAGTGGAGTAAAGCATTATGGGGATAGTCTGAGTAAAAGGCATTGAAATGTTCAATCAGCCATGATTGTATTATACGGCCTATTCTTGTTCCTCTGTTCACCCACGGGAGCATGGTGCATGTCAGTTCCTCACCAGCTTTGGCACATGCTCTGTGACAACTTAGCTTTTACATTGTGCATAATCTATTTAGGATTAGGTACAAAATGCAACTTTTCAGGCATATATTCGTGCCTGTAAAATAAGAACAGTTGACAACCCAGAGTACGAAGTGGAAATTAAGCTAACGAATCTTAGTTGTCTTGTGGGTTTATGACTCTTGAATCCCCATTCTGATCATGTGGCACCCCAAGGCAGCTGATCCTCTGTTACATTGTAGCTTAGATGTATTTGATAAACATATGAATACTGCAAAGTAAAACAGTATAACTTTTTTTTTCAAAGAGAAAGTAAACAAACTAAAGGATTCAAGTACTGTTGAATTTTGCAATAGTGGAGAATACAGCTTCGGTGATGCAGCTGCCTCAGATTCAAAACTGGCCACAGAGTGTGAAACTGAACTTCATACAGTGACAGTGTGCTCCCTGTGTGGAGTTGTGGACAGAGGAAATGGGGAAGAGGGGAAAAAAGAGGGAAAAAAAGAGACATATCTTTGGATTGACTCCAATGATGAAAAACCTGGGTGTGAAGTGTGTGTAAATATTGATAACATTTTTTCAGATCCAAGGCAATGAGATTTTCAAATGAATTTGTATGAAGTGTCAACCAGAGTGCTGTTTTAAAATCTCTTAGAAAGAAAATTGTAGAACACTAAATATTACAGAGAATTGGCAATATCCTCCTTTTACTAGGGTTTTAAATTGTGATCTACTTTTGTAAGGCATTCAAAGATTATCTGGAAAGAGCTGAACAATGCACTCCTAAGGATTTATGATCATTATTAAATAGCACACAAGAAATTCCAAGCTACACTGCAGATTGTGAGTATTCAATCATATGAATTTAATTATAACACCAACATGCTCAAGGTTTTACATAAACCAGGTATCAATACTTATGTGTGGACAACTACACAGATCCCACACCACTGCTTAACACATTGGGAGCAAACATCACATATCACAACCTGTTGTGATGTTATTGATCAGCAGAGGACTCAAGGTCAAGATTAACCTCTACCATAAGCACAAATGTGCAATATGGAAATTATTGGGAAGTATCATTTAGGGAAGTAAAGATTTTTTGTAGTTCATGGTTTTCTTACATTTGGATTAAATAATGAAAAAATGCAAATCTATATTTTAGCCATGCTAAACAATTAATCCTATTACCATCTTTCACTTAAGTATAGTTTAACTGAAAA